GATTATTAATATTGTTAGTCACAGTAAGGGGTTTAAAAAATAAAGATGGGAAGATTAAGTAGAATCGACAGGGCAGAGAAGTAGAAACAGTCGAATATCTTTCTCTGTCTGGGCATAAGTCTAGGTCTCTGTCAAGGCTAGAAAGAAGTGTTGTTATTCTTTACTAGCGGTCGCGCGCGACTTTGACCGCGCTGGATAAAAAAAAATACTTAGTATGTGTCCTCTTTTTTATATAAGGGAACGGGGCAAACGAGCGGTGGTAACACCTTCTTCCAGACTATGTTTTATATATGTGCCAAATTTAATCAAGATCCGTTCAGCCGTTCTGAAGATATCTTCAAACCATCCATCCATCTAAATATTCGCAATTATAATATTAATATGATGAGTAGTGGTCACTTAAAACATATTAGTTTTTTAACGTTTTTTTTCGATTCGATTTAAATTTTAATAAGTTTTTGAAGTAAGCAGAATTTAAGACATAGCAAAAACAGGTGTATTGTTGTTATGATTTCAAAAGGATGGCATTTAATTTCCTTATTCCAAGAAGCGACTCACTGTTTTAAATAAATGCAGCTACGTACGTCATAGTTACCATTGACTTGCATTTAAATAATGTAATATAATTGTAGTTATATATTTTCTTTATATAGGTCATAATCGTCATTCTATATGTGTTCCTCTTCTTACCTAAGGCTAACCAAGTTAGGGGTGACTAGACCATATTCAACCCTGGCCCGGTGCGGATTGACTCGCATATCTTTAAATTTCTTCGCTTTCCATTAATACATCTCGATGTTTCTCTTCATCGTAAGAATGTACGTATAAAATACTAAAATCTAAAAAAAACATTTGTAAATGGCTGGGTTCGAACGTCTACGTGTAGATTACGATCCGGTGACGCTAAAAAAAACGTACAGACGAATTGATAACCTCCTCCTTTTTGAAGCCGGCTAAAAATAATAGTCATACTTATATGATAATTAGGCTCGCTAAGTCTAATAGCTATCTTATTCTGTAATTTTCTCCTAAAAAACTTAATTAGTAGCCTTTGTGTTTTGTCAGGCTGTTTTACATCTATGTCAAATTTCATCGAGAACCGGTGAGCCTATTAAGAGATATCCATTAACAGACATCCATCTAAACATTAGCATTTAAAATATTAATCTTATATCTTTAAATGAGCAATTCTTGTATATATCTTGTGTTTTATCGATAATTAACTTAAACATAAACTTAACTTTTTCTATAGGTAAGATCAAAAAATATTATTCATATTTCATCATTTTATTAGTAATTCGTACTTAAATATAATTTCCAAAAAACACAATTAAAAAAAATACCGAGCAAAGCTCGGTCATCCAGATTTTAAGATTTAATCATTTAATGAATGATCAGCCATATTCAGAAGTAGCCATTTCCCAGAATTGACCGCAACATACGTTAACTTTCATGTATGGTGTCAAAACGACGCAAGGACAACCATTAAAATAATTAAACAACTTCCCTTATATAAGAAATATCAATGTCCTAAAAAGGTAAATATTTATTTATTTAAAAATATAACATTGTAAACAAAACAGGAATTTAAACAGTTAATTTATTTAAAACCATTTATTTTACGTAATATTGAAGTTATTTTAAGTTTTTCTATAAATAGAAATATTTCGTGTTTGTTCATTATAATATTGTATATTAAAAGTTGAATAGGTACTTGAATTAAATATTAATGAATGTCGCATGTTCATTTGTTTGTAATGATTTTCC